ACATTGAGGTGATCATGCCCACCTTGGCCACACCCACCCTATCTGCCATGACCACCACAGCCATACCCACCCAGTGGGCCACGCCCACCTGGCACCCGGCGATAAATAAGTGGGTTTTGGGTTGCAGTTAGGGCACTCGGCCTCTAAAAGGTTCGCCATCACTGGTATAAGGTGACCTTTTTTTTTTTTTCTTGAGATCGATGCTGCAAAGCCATCTTTGCCCTCGTCCAGAGAGTCAACCACACGAAACCAACCCTGACTTCCTGTCCTTCCCACAGCCCAGGTTTGGAGCTAAGCCGACAACAAGAGCTGCCTGCCTTTGAGAGCCTTCTGCCGCCTTCTGCACCGACGACGTGAAAAAGGCATCGCTGAAGAAATCCAGGGAGCCGCTGAAGACCACGCGGGCGTTATTCCGGGCCTGCAGGCCGGCAATCAGGAGGGTGTTCTTTCCGACAGCATGAGGGTACTGAAGAAAGAAGTTGCTTTTTTAACAATATCCTTCCAATGTTTGAACATTCTTAATTGCATCCTTGTTTTTTAGTACTTTTTCTTTTTTTAAAAAAAGACTTAAGTTGTGCATAGATACATGTGCAAACATCCTTCTCTTTTCGGGAAATCCAGAAATATGGATTCAAACCATGAGGTTGTCTGGAGGCTATCCAGAAGGAGAAAGCATTGCCCAACAATCAACCACTGACTTAGCAGTTCTGAAGGAGGCTCAGCAGACACAGTTCAAGTGGGGCTAAAAAGGAGGGGGAGCAGTGGGACCCAACCTCCCAACTCTTTCCAATGGATTGGGAAGCACAATTCCCACATACCTGGGTGATAGGTTTGTCAGGAAAGAAAGAATACGAAGTTGAGGAGCCGGTGAGAATATCAAGAACCAAAGGGTTGTCAGGATCAGCCACCATCCTGGGAAGAAAACGGTTCCTGAGTGGAAGTGGGCATGGCTAGGGTGAGTTTCCTACTGGGTGGGTGCCAGGAGACACAGGACTTACCCAACTCCCCTGAAAAGAATGGGGTTATGCGGCTTCTTCCCCACAATCGTTGGAGCCTTAAGGAGATTCTCAGAGTCTGCAACAATGAGGGTGTGCTGCAGAGGAAGAGAAAGAGACACCTTGTTAAGGACCCACCTCACTTTACATCTTAAGAAGACAGAACTCTTGGAATATTTCTTCCAACAGGCATCTTTATTAAGAGAAAATGATGGCAGGCGTGCTAGACAGGATCTGAGAAATTCTCTCCCATCCTTCAATGTTTTAAGTGTTCCCAAGCAGCTCCCCACCCCACAGTTCTTCCAGGCAACGATCCTTGTTCCCCTTTTCCCTTACTGCCGGCAAAAGAGAGACTTCAGAGAGCGAGTAGATGAAAGGCGATGGCCATATTGTTATGGTCAGTCCTCTTGGTGAGAATCAACATCCAGTCCTTTTGAAGTTTTAATGAAGGAAGTGAGAGCCATAAAACCCCCCTGCTCATCCCCCTTCCCCTTCGTAGCATGACAGAATCCAGAGAAAGCAGAAATGGGTTTTTCCCAGAGTAGATAACTAGAAATGAAATATAATTGGATTCTGACACACCTACTAAGCTTTCCTAGCAGGTTTCTCACTCTGTTGAACATCTCTGGGAGCAGGTGGATCATAAGGGCAGCAGCCAACTAGACCCGTCCTCTGTCCTGCTTACCTGTCCTGGGTCAGAGATATCGTAGTTGTGATGGTCAATCACAGCTGTCTTTTCCTCATCAAATTCTATCCCGCATTCACTTCCCAATTCTCGAAGGGGATCACCTAAGGAAGATTAAAAATCCCATGTGTTCTTTGTACTAAAAAGTGAGCACCCCATGCCTCTTACCTACCACCTAAGAGGATTTCTAACATGCTGGGGAGACACTTGCAATAAATCCATGTGCCCTGTCAGAAAACACCAAAGAATTCTCGTCTTTCTTTTTTTTAATCTCACTTATTTTATAAAAAGACGCAGAATTCTAGAACGACAGGGCCCAAGCAAGTGTAAATGTCTGTCTCCGAGTATAGCTACAAAACAGAAGAGATGAATAATGATCAGTTACTGTTTTGAAGCTTTACTTTCCACAAACTGCTTAAAACCCAGTTGTTCTCCCAGACCTTAAGTAGGATGGACTTTTGCTGCTCGATTTTGGCCAGCCTTAAGATTGAAATGATAAAAAAAAATAAAGGGAAAAAATATCTTTTTAAGTTGAAGACAATCTGTCCCACTGCGCCCATTTCACTGACCGATATCTGAACTGGCAGCCACAAGGATGTTTCCACCCCCATCAATGAAAGCAGCAATGGTCTCCACGTTGATGTTGCCTCCAAAATCTGAAACACAGTGACCGGGTTAAATTTCTTGTCAGAAGGTCAAAATGTTTACAGTAATACATTATTCCAGGTAGCAAGTGTGCAACTGAACAAGACACGAAGCCCTGACAAAGAAACAGCAGTTCTTCACTGGACGGTCTCAGCTCTGCCCATCACGTATCGTCATCATGGCAAGAATAGAATAGAGCTGGAAGGGACTTTAGAGGTCCTCTAATCCAGCCTCCTGCTTAAGCAGGAGAACCTAAAGCATCTCAGACAAATGACTGTCCAGTGATGGAGCACTCACGATGTCTGAAGGCAAGCTGTTAATTGACCTCACTGTTAGGAAGTTATCACCACCACCACTATCACGATTATTATTGTTGTTACTTTTCATTTCAATTTGCACTCTGGGACTGGTAAAAACTTAACAGTTCAAGTCCTAAAAAAGGACCTAATAGCTATTAAGGTAACGACTGTGTATATAGGCAATTCTGAGTAAGATGGGGTTTTTTACAAATACTTTTTTTGTTTTTTTTACAAGTATTTTACAAATACTTCTTATTCAGGTATGAGAAGTTCAAAATTTCCATGTATGTAGGCAGCCCTTTGGCTATTGCTCCAAAGTATTACTATTGGTACAATCATTGATTTCTTCCTCCACAATCGCTCAACTTCAGTTTGTAAATCACAATATTATTATTACTATTACTATATTACTGTTATTACTATTACTATTATTATTATTATTACTATTATTATCATGGATCATTGCACAGTCAGCCAGATGTTCAGACTGGATTTGGCATTTTGTCTACCTATGGAGTCCTTCCCAAGGACCTGGGATAGGCAGATGTGGATGTTTGATGGTATTACAGATCTCGTTGCAGGATGGAAGCGGTTCCTAGTAAGGCCGCCTTTTGCAATTGACTCATGGCGAATTTGTCAATGCCGATGGTGTTCAAGTGGTGCTCCAGTTGTTTTGGGGTTGCACCCAAGGCGCCTATGGCTATTGGTACTACCCTTGCTTGCTTTTGCCACAGTCTTTCTATTTCTATTTGTAGGTCTTTGTATTTTGTTATCTTCTCCAGTTCTTTCTCGTCTATTCTGCTGTCTCCAGGCACTGCCACGTCCACTATCCAGACTTTTTTGTCTTTCTTATCGACAATTGTTAAGTCCGGAGTTGTTATTATTATTACCATTATTATTAAATTTATTTGCCGCTTATCCCGCCCCGGGGCCCCTCATCGCTTCCCCCCTCCTCCAGGCGCCGACGGCAGAGCCTCAGAGCCCCTTCGAGGGGAAGGAAGAGCGAGCCGCCTCACCTTCCACCGAGGGCGCGAAGACGACCAGGTTGTCGTAGAGGAACTCCCCGTACTTGATCAGGGACAGCCCGGGGTCGTCCGCCGTCCGGAAGGTCAGGTCAAAGCCTCGCTCTGCAGGGGCAAAGGAGAGTGAGGGAGGCCGCCGCCGCCGCGCCCCGTCCTGGTAGGGAGGCCGCCACTCGCCGCGTCCCCCCCACCGCCTCTCCCTCCGGCCGCCGGACCTGCCAGGCCGCGCAGGAAGAGCGAGTGCGTGTCCTTCAGGTTCATGTTCTCCAGCAGCACCAGCGTTCGCGGGCCGCCGCCGCCGGGCGCCGCAGATGCAGCCGCCGCCACGAGTCCTGTCACCAAAACCAGCACCGCCGCCGCCATCTTTCCTCTTCCCTCGCTGGGCGCCCCGGAAGCGAACCCGCCTCCCCCCCAATCAGCTCACAGACCTCTGCCGGAGGAGGCGGGGCGAGCCTCGGCTAACCAATGGAGAGAAGAGAGCAGGGCGGGGCCTCTCCGTCGGCGTGAGCTAATGAGAAGGAGCCACCTCCGCCCCGAAGTATCGAACGCTCCGCCAGGCAGACGTCGCCACGCCCCTTCGGTTGTCAGGAGCCAATCGGCACCCAGGCAGCGTAGGCCGGCGAATGGACCGCCGAGGGGGAGTGAGCGTTACCGTAGCAACGGAGGCGCGCCCGGCTTTTCTTTCCGAGCGATCCTCTTCCGGGAAGAAAACGACACACAGACTTCGCATTTGAAATATAAATATATATATATATCTGTATATTTGCAGGCCATCTCTTATACAAACGGTTTTGCGTCTGTTCAATATAAGCAATGCATCTTCACCACTGTACACAGCAGCCCAGAGAAAGCGATATACACTCTTCCAATAAGTTACTCACATACAGGCATATTCAGCTTCCCATAAATACAGAGCACTATGCTCCACAAGGGAGACACACCACAACAGCCACACTGCAGGGATGGCCAGAAATTTAGGCTCCTGATCAAAGGCATTTGTCACCCCCCCCCCTGCACGCACGGGCTGGAGAGAATCGGCCAGGAGTGCAAATACGCAGGGAGGCTCAGTATGGCCCCCTCCCCAGCCACGTTGACCCCCAAAATTATTGGAAATGTGCTGTCAGCCCAAGACACCCCTTGGAACTTCCTAGATGGGGTGGGGGCCCAGCCAACCCATGCATCAGCCCTCTGATTCCAGCAGGGCCGATATCGCAGGAAGAAACCCTGAATTACGAGACGACGAGAGAAAGGGCACCTTTTGCGCACAATCCAAAAAGAACGACAACAAAGCCAAGCCACAGAGTGGGGCAGAAAGGGTCACTGGGGACTCTGTCCTCTTCTGACGGCAGAAATACTAAGAGAGGGACCCGGCTAAGCATCCTTCCACCTCGTGCTGCACAGCCAGAGACCGACTGGCCCCAAACAGCCATGAGGACTTCCGGCGAGTTCGCTCTTCTCCCCAGAGATCCTCGGCCGGACCGTCTTGCTCCTCATAACCATGGTTGATTCGTCCTGCACCCAAGGAGCAGAACAGGCCTGCACGAACACCGGAGTAATTGTCTAGCAAGGCTTCCATGCTGGGGAATTCTACATTCAAATGCTATGGGGGGAGGGGGAGGGGGTAGGAGAGAGAAAGAGAAAAGAAAAATATGAAAGACCGCATACTTTGATTCCAAGCACCCATGACAAGAGTTGATATTGCTACGTAAATCGGCGCGAGGTACTGTAAGCAAAACAACGGCTAATTTAAACGATTAAATAAAAACAGCAACGGAAACGTGGGCTTAAGGATTGAAGAAAGGAAGCTAGCTCAGCGAGGCTTTGGGTATGTGTGCGCTTGGTCAAAGGAGGGGAGAAAAGAGAAGGAGGGCAGCAAGGTCACTCTTGCAAGGAAGAAAGGGGCAAGTAGACAAAGTAGATTAGCAAACATTCTAGAAGAATAGAATAGAATAGAATAGAATAGAATAGAATAGAATAGAATAGAATAGAATAGAATAGAAGATGGAAGGGACTTCGGAGGTATCTTCTAGTCCAGCCCCCTGCTCAAGCAGGAGAACCTATACCATCTCAGATAGGTGGATGTCCAGTCTCTTCTTAAAACCTCCACTGATGGAGCGCCCACGATTTCTGGGGGCAAAGCTATTCCACTAGTTAATTGTCCTCACTGTCAGGAAGTTTCTCCTTCATTCCAGGTTGCTTCTCTCTTTGGTCAGTTTCCAACCATTGTTTCTTGTCCTGCCCTCTGGTGCTTTGGTGAATAACCTGGCCCCCTCTTCTTTGTGGCAGCCCCTCAAATACTGGAATACTGCTATCATGCCTCCCCTATTTCTTCTTTTCTTTAGACTAGCCAAACCCAAGTCCTGCAGCTGTTCTTCGTATGTTTTAGTCTCCAGACTTTCATCATCTTAGTTGCTCTTCTCTGAATTTTTTCCCAAACGCTCAACATCTTTTTTGTGATATGGTGACCAAACTTGGCTGCAGTATTCCAGGTGTGGTCTTACTAGGGTTTTATAAAGCGGCACTAATACTTTGCGTGATCTTGATTCTATGCCTCTGTTTATACAACCCAGGATTATATTAGCTTTTTTGGCTGCTGCTGCACACTGCTGGCTCATAGTCAAGTGATTGTCCACTTCCAGGACTCCAAGGTCCCTCTCACAGTTACTGTTTTTAAGCCAGGTCTTGCCCAATCTGTACTTGTACCTTTGATTTTTCCTACCAAAAATGTAAAACTTTGCTTTTCTCCACATCGAAAGTTTATCTGACAACATCGCCACCTTTCCCAATTCTCTCACCTCAACTGAGTACTTCCCCAGCTGGCTGCGGTAAATTTGATATGGAACCACGCCACAGCGGGTCCTCACTGCCAGGCACCACTGATGGGTGGATCCTGACTCAGCCCACAGAAGAAAAGCCCCCAGCATGTCATTCCTCAGCAGCGCCAGGCCGGCATCTCTGGAAGGCAGAGCAAAATGCAGGAAGCAGAGGGCAAAGCAGCAGGGGATCTTTGCAGCCTCACCCAAAGGGCACTCCAGGCCCCTGAAGCCCCCCCCCCAAAAAAAACCCAGAAACTATCCACCACCACGTGCACCAGCAAGTCCTAGGTCTGCTGATGGGGTGGGCAGAACCACCTATGAGGGCCTCAGAGCCATCCAAGGGGAGGCCCCCTCACCTGTTGATGCCCGCAAAGGACCACACACTCTCCCTCAGATCGTTCTCGTTTTCTGGCAGATGAAGCAGGCTCCCTTTGCCATCGCAGCTGGAAGAAACTGCAACCGAGGACACAAAGAGCCAGATTGAAGGGCTTCACATATCACCAAGGTCGTCGCCTAATGTGGAAATATGGCAACGGGCAACACAGGGTGTTGTGCTGGTGGATACTGGCTCCTATCCAGCACCCATGCCTGGCACCCATGCCCGATTGCCATGTTATTTCAACCCGTGATAATGCGTGGAAGATTTTTCCTCGTTGTGAGGAAGAAAAACGAACCCGTCCTTTCCCCTTCATGATTGTCAAGACTTTTATCCGTAATGCAGAGCTCCCAAGGGTTATCAGTAAAGCTTTGTTTGTGCCTCTTTCCTTCCTGGCTTCCTTCTCTCTCCTCTTTCTACTTCCCAGGCTCCCCAAATACTCACATCCTTCCCAGGCGCCCTGCTGAGAGCCCGCCTCAAAGGTACAACCTCGGTAGGCCCCAGAACGGAGAATCTTGCTGCGAATCGCCTTCTTGCGCACCAGAATTGGGGAACAATAGGGGTTTCCAGGACGGGCACTGCCCACGCTGCCGCTGGTTTCCTCCAGGTCTAGCCTCTCTCTCTAGGGGCACAAGCAGAGCAGTTCCTGAGCAGGGGAGGCAGAGACTGCAGGGGCCTGGTCCAAAACTGGAGACTGCTTTGCATTTGGTTGATGCAAACGATCTCTGGGATGCTAAACAGTGGCTTGGGCTGTGAACTGAGCCTCAACTCTTGAATCAGGGCTTGCTTGACCTACAGCAGCGGTGGCAAACCTATGGCACGGGTGCCAGAGGTGGCACTCAGAGCCCTCTCTGTGGGCACACGCACCGTCTCCCCAGCCCCGCCTCCTCCCATGGCCCCCTCACCAGCAGCCCCTCCCCTGAGGAGAGTAGCCCCCAGGCGTGTCCCACACGAAGCAGCGGAGCCAAGGACATGGTAGCTGGGCAGTGGGGACAAGAATCCACCCTTTTGCCCCGTTGCACACATGATGCTGCGGGGCATGGGCGGAGGGCATGGCCGCCATGGCGCTGCTGGGCTGCCTGGGTGATCGGTGGCGGGCCGTGGAGGTGGTGGGTGGCCCAGTGGGCAGGATGGGGCGGGGATGGGGGGCAGTTTTGGGGCACTCGGTCTCTAAAGGATTCGCCATCACTGACTTACAGGTAAGACCTTAGGAGGTCCCTGAAAGCTGGACAGGCCTCAGGGGACACCCACACACACATCCACACACCGCCCAAGAGAGCAACGGCCGCTATGGAAGTGGTGAGCTCCGCAGATTCTCCAGGGGAGGCAGGAGAAGAAGAGGCCACTCACCACGCTGACCGAGGGCCCAAATTCTGTGGGGCAGGGCAGCCTCCGGAAGGAGACCAGGGCGTTGACGTTCTGGGAGACCTCCTCGGGGTTGAGGGACTCCCAGACCACCTGGCTGTCCAGAGAGGCGCCCAGGAGCTTCCCGGAGTCTTGCTGGGCAGAGGCGCCGGAGGAAGAGGAGGACCACTCCTGTTCATCGGGGTGCAGGAGAAGGTAGCCCAGCTGGAAGAAGCGGCACAGGAGGTAGTGCAGCGCCTGGACCTGGCGGGGGGAACGGAGGAGGCTGAGCGCCTGACCCTTCCTCCGGGCGTCCCCAGGAGCAGCGGATGGGGCTCTCCTGCCCCGCCAGGGGACGGGGAAGAGCCTGGCCCAGGGGTAGGCGACCTTGGCTCTTTTAGGACTCGTGGACTTCAACTCCCAGAATTCCTGAGCCAGCATGGCTCAGCTTGGAAACCTCTCCCTTTCCCCTCAGCATGGCTGGCTCAGGAATTCTGGGAGTTGAAGTCCACGAGTCCTAAAAGAGCCAAGGTCGCCTACCCCTGGGCCCTAGCCGAATCATTCCACGGCCAGAACCGCACTCCAGCGCCGGGGACGGACGGGCGGGCTGGCTCGCCCACGCACCTCGCCGGGCTGGCTGCCCACGAAGAGGTGGCAGAAGAGGCTGCCGCGGGCGCCGCGCGGGTTGCGCGCCAGGAAGGCGAACTGGCGGTCGGCCGGCCTGCAGGTGCTGTAGGCGAGGCGCTTGAGCGCGTGGGCCATGAGCGGCGCCTGCGGGCGAGAGAGCAGCAGCAGCAGCGCGGCCGGCTCAGCTTCCCCGACGGCCGGCGGAGCCGCCCCCATTCACCCAGCCCGGGCGGAGGCGCGCCTCGCCTACCTCGCCGTCGCGGCCGAGCATCTTCAAGCCCTGCAGGCAGAAGCGCAGGAGGACGGAGCGGCGGCGCGGACAGTCCTGCGTGGGGAGGAGAAGGGCGAGAGGGACGGAGCCGGGGGTCGCGTCGGCTGCCGGACCCCAACCCGCCCGCCCCTCCCCGCGTCTGGACTCTCCCCGCGCACCTTCAGGAGCTGCAGCCGCTGATGGACGGCTTGACCCGCCCGGGGCAGCTCGGCGTCTTCCACGGCGAAGGAGCCCACGTACTGCGGCGGCAGAGGAAGGCGCGTCAAGCCCAGCCCCGGCTCCCCGCGCGACCCTCCTCGCCCTGCCCCGGCCTCGCCTCTAACCTCACCTCGGCCGCCTTGGTCAGGGCTCGGCCGGCCCTCGGCTCCGGAGCCCGCCCGGTCGGCTGCCTCTTCATGCCGCCGCGAGTGGGGACGCTCCGCGATCGCCCGTGGCCGGACAGACCCCCCCACTCTCCCTGCTCCGCCCCCCCGGCTCTGGCCGGCCAATCAGGCGGGAGACAGCCAGACCAGACCCCGCCCCCTCTGCTTCCCCCCCCCAAAAACGACGCGCAAACAGTGGGGGGGTCTCCGGAGTCTTAAGCTTTTATTTCTGCAAAGAGGGTTTTTTTGCAAACCTTCGCTCTGCGGTTCTACAATTAGCGATGGGGTCGTTCTCCGGGACGAAAAAAAGGGGACGGGGAGGGGGGTGGGTGGGCAAAAGGAGGAGTGAAACGTTTCCCCCCCCCTTTTTAAGGAAAACTGCTCAAAGGCCCCCTCCCAAGGAACTCCGGGTGGGGCGGGGAGAGGGGGCGACTAAGCTGAACAACAGAACACTCTGGCTGGGGGGGGAAAGGAGGAGGGGAAAAAAGGCAGCC